TGTGAAGTTAAGGAAATATACCATAATACGTATTACTACTATCCCAGTATCCTATTGTGAAATCCTGTACCAATTTCACTGCATTGTCTCGATTGGCTTTGTTCTGTCTTGTGCTGTTGCATTTTTACTGCTTTCAAAATAAAATTTAAAAAAAAAGAAAGAAAAGAAATTATCCTGTACATATTATGAGACTGCAGCACAATGAAGTTGAAAATCCATGGCAAAAGAAACCACAAGAACTTCATAAACAAATGTAAATTAAATAACACCCTATTGAACAACCATGGATCTCAGATGAAATTAAAGAAGAAATTAGCTCTTACAGTTGAATGATGATGACAATACAACATACCAGAACTTGTGGGACACAGTGAAAGCAGTCTTCATAGAGAAATGTATAGCAGGAAATGCTCATATCAGGAAAACAGAGCACGTACACATAGACAACTTAATGTTGAACCTCAAACGTCTAGAAAAAAAGCAGGCTAAACCAAAAGCTCACACAAGAGAGGAAATTATAAAGATCAGAGTAGAAATTAACACACTGGATATTAAAATCAATACAAAGAATCAATGAATCAAAGAGTTGGTTCTTTGAAAGATTAAGTAAAATTGACAAACCCTCAGCCAAACTTATCAAAATAAAAAGGAAAGAAAAGACTCAAATCCATGCAATTAGGAATGAAAAGGGCAAAATCACAGCAGACCCTGCAGAAATCATCTATACCTACTTTGCAAACTTGTATTCTAATAAAATGGAAAATACAGAATAAATGGACAGGTTCCTAGGTACATATGAATTACCAAAGCTGAGTCAAGAAGACATAAGGCTCTTAAGTAACCCAATATCAATAAGTGAAATTGAACATGTAATTAAAAATCTATCAATAAAGAAAAGCCCAGACCCTGACGGATTCACTGCTGAATTTTACAAGAAATTTAGTGAAGATCTAGCACCACTACTTCTCAAAGTCTGTAATGAAACTGAAAGGGAAGCAATACTTCCAAATTCATTCTGAAAGCAAACATTATTCTGTGTCCAGTTAGGAGCTACTGGAGGAAGCCAGAAGCAGTTCTGGTTCCGGTTATGGGCTTATCCAGCCTGACTCCACAATAGCTCCCAGCCAATCAGTGTCTGCCATGGGAGGACTGGTCCTCTGCATTCACTGCCAGGCAGTGCATTGCTCCATGCCCGCAGCTCCCCTCCACTGCTGCATCTCTTTGCCAAGGCCTCCGGAGTTGGCAGCCACCATTGTCACCATGACTGTGCATCCCCAGGTTCCAGCAGCTCCTCTCCTGCAGTTAGTCCGGCTCTGGGCAAAGGCACTGCCAGCTATCGCCTTCTTCTTTGTTGAAGTTTTTCTTTCTACTTTTCACTGTCTCTGTGGGCTTCAGTTCACACTTCAGATTCTTTTTGGGTCCACGGAACCCACTGCCTTCCTTCTCGTCTTCCTCACAGTGCTCTTGGATGATGACTGTCAGAGAGCCTGTTTTCTCTGCTGCTTACTGCTCTGCCATCTTGCCAGAAGTCTCCTGTCGTATAATTTGGAAGTAGTTGAATTATGATTATAATGATAATCAAAATGTCCTAACCCAAAAACCTCCTTCGTACAGGCAGAAATAGATAATGCTCTTATTATTGAATACACATTAACCCAGAATGTGACACACACAGGTAATCTGCTAAGTGATAACATGGGAGAAATAAATCTTACCCCCTGAATGCTCCGCATGAAACCAATCAGAGAGCAGTAGTTTCTGTTTTGTTTTTCTAATTTTTATTTTAAAGAGAATAAAACCAAGCAAAATAAATCACAGTAAAGCCAATCAAAACAAAACAGAACAACTATTGCTACCATAATGCCTCTTGTTATCTTCAAAATAGCTGTCCATATCACTGGGCAAAATACAATCAAACAAAACAAAACAGAATAAAAGCCAACCAAACAACTAATGAAAATGATACAGGTCTTCAAAACAAAATAGGGAATCAACAATGGCTATCACCTCAGAAGGAGATCCCCCATAGATACTATACTGAGTATTGTTATCTTCTGAATAGATGATCAAACCATTGACTTTAGTCTTGCAACGTCAGTGAAACACCAAATACCACAAACATCAAATTGGATTTCACTTCAAAAGCTAGGATCTCAGCCTGTGTTTCTCTGGATCAGTCAGTCACTTATCAGGGAGAGGGACCTTGGCTCCTCTCGTCTCCCAGCCTCTGTGCCAGAAGGGGCTGGCATCTGGTTCTTCCCACAGTGGCATGCACATGACACCAACTCACAGGGAAGATTTGGCATTTTGTGGCTTCTTGTTCTCTCCCATAGTCTGCAAACAGAAATATGGAATCAAAGACCAAAAAGAAAGAACTGAAAGGGCCTCTTTCTAACACAGTGCTCCAATGTTCAGCTCTAACTCTTTAACATACTTAGAGTGCTTTTTACTTTGATCCTTCCTGGCTTGTCTTCTCTCTGTACATTGTTATAAAGATAATGGACAAAGTGTGCACAAGAGCAGTTTACCAATTCTTTCATATACAGGGTCTCTCAATGGTTAAGTGACAGAATTCCAGAAGATGGGCCAAAGTCCTTTGAAAAAAACACTTGTAGTGTAGGCCTTTATTATGTCACCTCATAAAGACAGAACATGACTATTTCAACTCTGATCTAGAAAAGAAAGCCAGCTAGGGAATGCCCACTAGCCCAAGATTTGACCACTATAACTTGGAAAAACTCCAGATATAGCAGGGAGAAGAGAAAACTTTGCTTTAGGGACCTATTTTTTGTTGTTGTTTTACTCTAGCCATCTCTGGATTCAGGCCCTCAGTGGATGAAGCAGGTGTCTGAGAATGTGGCTTTGAGGGTGTGTTTTGTCCCTAGCCCTGTCCTTTGGGGCTCTTTCCCTTTCCTTTTCTCTTTCTCCCTGCTTCTCAGCCATCACAAGGTGAGTAGCTTTGCTCTGCCACACACTCCCTCACCAACATCAGAAACAGAGCCAAGTGACAACGCATTGCACTCTCTGAAACCATGATCAAAGCTGAATCTCTCTTCTCTAAGTTGCTTTTCCCACATTTTGCACTACAACAGTGAAAAGCTGCCTAGCAAAGAACTATTTCAGAAATTAGCAGGCCAGTAAGCATAAAACAATATTGTCATATCACAGATTAAATACATAGAATCTAAAATTTAAAGTGGTTTGACTTGTGAATTTGTGACTTTGAGTGTTCAAAAGTTAACCCATCAGCCATTCTCTTTTTTATTTTGAATGCTGTATACAGTAAATACAAACATTCAATACTTTGTTATCAAACAGATGCGTTGGTTGATTTTGTCCTGCTGTAGGCTAATGTAAGTATCTGAACACATTTAAGCTAGGCTAGGCTAAAGTATGATTGAGGTTTGGTAAGTTGAGCACATTATACTAACGTTTAACTTGTGATATTTTAAACGTGCAATACATTTGTTGGGATGTATTCCAGATAACTCTGCAGGTATCTGCAGAAAGAGTGTGCTAAACAGAGAGAACAGCAAGTGAGAATGTCCTGAGGTAGCAGTGGGCCTTGTGTGCTATAGGAACAGCACAGATGCTCATGTAGAGAGAGAAGAGTGAGCAAAAGACACCAAAACAGAAGACAGCCTGAAAGGGCAACAGGAAGCCAGGTTGTGTCAGGGCTTCTAGGGTGCCTTTAGAACTTAGCTGGCACACTGAGCAAAACAAAACACATGGGCGGGCTCTCAACAAAGAAATGGCATGATCTTACACTTGTTTCAAGGAGAACTTAAAACAGTAATCTCCAAGTATAATTCTAATTTGTTTCTGAAAAGTGGAGTCTATCAAAGTAGTGTATGCTGATTGTAAAAATAGATGCCTTAAGCCTTTAGTGTACAGACGGACTCACCCGCCCTCCGTGGGGCTTGGGGCTGAAAAGTGGTAGTGGGGTCGGAACTCATCCTCCCCCTGGCAGTCAGAGCCAGTTTCCCAGGGGATTCTTAACAGGATAATTGCTGACTACACAGCTGACTTATCCCTGGGCCTGACCCATTGGGAGCTGTGTATCTATCAACCTGCCAGAGGCACGGGAAAGCAGGTCTCCAGAGGAGACACTTGTCCATCCCTCTGCTTGCTCTCTCAGCCCTGATCTCATGATACCCGTTTGGCGCTTGAGGGAATAGATGCGGGAAAGGGGCTGAAAAACAAGAACTGGCCAGAGTCGCCCTACGCTACAAGTCTGAGCTCTGGTGCCATAATTGCTTTTCTAGTTTAATGAAGGGCAGAAGGGAGAGCAGAGGTTAGGGCTAAAGCAGAAGAGATGGAGTCTTTCCCTGATCAATACCCTCAGGCCATGCAGCCAGGGGAACTGGAGATATAAATTCCGACATCCGGAGGGGGAGCTAGGAAAGAAGGGAAAGGAGTGAAGCTGTGTTACACCAACTCCACACCAGGAATAGACTGCAAACATGTACGTTTTTTAAAAAATGAATCAAGAACTTTAAAAACAGTTGTATTCTTTTACCCTATAAAAAATGAAAATGTTACTTTCGGGTAAGGCTGTGCAGCATTAGCATAGCTCCACTAGACGTGTTTATAATGTATTTCAGGAAATGAGAAACGTTTATAAGATAGTAAGTATGAAAAGCGAGGCACCGAATGATTTGCACAAAAGTGTCAAGTGCTAAAGAGACACACACACGGCGCAGCTGTAATCCCAGCTGAGGCTGAAGCAGGAGGATGGATCACGGCATCTCTGAAGCCAGCCTGGGCTCCATAGTTTAAAACCAGCCTGAAAAAATCAAAACACAAAAACAGAAAGACACACAGCAAAACTCAACTATTCCTAAACGAAAAGACTGGAATTGTGGGAGCCTTGGGGGATGGTGTAACTGGTCACACCCTTCCACCTTTGTGGGTTCCCGCACTGAGCTTTATTATGGGTTGACCAGCACAGGAGAGGACAGCCTGATACCCCACTTCCTCCGCAGTTGTCCGAATCAGGCTCATTTCCTCCCAGGCCGGCTCCGAAGGATGCGTAGGGCCCGGGTGGGCGTGGCGGAGCCCGCGGAGGTCCCCACATCTCCCCTACCGCGCACCCCGGGGCGGCCAGCTGCAGGAGGCTCCTCTCTCCCCCGCAGCTCGGGCGGCGGCGCGGACGTGCAGGGCCCCACGGAGGCCACCGCAAGCCCAGAGCCGCCCCTGCCCACGCTCTGCCTGCTCCCCAGACAGCGGGCTTGGCCTTTTGCCCCAGAGTCTGCGCGGCCTGCGGGTCGGATCGCCTGGGCCCGGCTGCGGCTGTGCGCGGTGGCCTGGGTGTGGACCCCTAGGCAGCCCTGGATCCGGAGCCGCTCCGGGTGGCCGCTTTAGTGGCAAGGCCATGCTCTGGTTTCTTTGGGTTCCCACTTCCTCCTTGTCTTCTGCTCAGCTTTTTTCCTTCAGGGCCGGTTGTGGTGGATCCTGCAGTGTGCTCACGTTGTCTCAGTACTAGGAAAGCTGAGGCAGGAAGATCGCTGCATGTTTGAGGCCGGCCTGAGCTGAATAGGAGTTCAAGGCCAGCCTGAACTACAAAACACAAAATAGAAGAGAAACAACTTTCTCGCAGCCCTGCTGCCTTTGTAAGGTGCAGTCTGTTGTCCCAAAGGCCTTGAACCTGTCCTTGGCCTTCCTTGGCCTTCTGTGTCTCCAAACAACCCCCCCCACACACACACACAAACACACACAAGAGGGCGACTATCACCTCCCCACTGCCCGCTGCTCTCTACCTGCACCCTGTCCAGGCCGATTGGACAACTGGACTTTCACGTTGCCCGCGGGACAAAATTCTGCCCCGTCTCCCTGTCACCCAGAAACATCCCCAAGAGCAAGAAGAGGTGGCCCCCAAAGCCTATGCTGGGGGCCACCCAGGGCCTGTGCTATAATTTGCAGTGACCCATGCAAAGCGAAAGCTCTGGGCCCAGCCTAAAAAGGGAGACTCAGAGCCTGGACAGCAGAGGTTGAACCAGACCTGGAGCTGCCCAGTGAAGCTCTGTGCCTGATGGGGTCCTGGGGCCATGCGTGTACCTGGTCCCTCATCCTCAAGCCAATCCTCAATTTTCCCCTTCATAAGACCCCTTACCCTTGGGTTTGGAACATCAGGTCTCCATCCCATCCCCTCCGGTCCTGTCCCCTGCCCCATGCTGCCCTGCCCATTCCTTCTCCCATTTGGGGGCTTCCCTTTCCCCTACTTTAAATCACATCTGTCTTTGTCCCTGCAGGGAACATGCTTAGCTCATGGTCTTTCTGATCGTTGGAGAAACTGCTCCCTCCTCTAATTAAACTCAGGGCCTTGTGCTTGCTAGGCAGGCACACTACTACTAAGTGCCATACAAACCCCTTTTAAAATTTTTCCTGTGATTGAGACAGGATCTCTCTAAGTTGCCCTTCTGAGTGCAGGAGGACGAGCAGCCACCCAGGGGAGCAGGTGTTCAGCCCTGACAAACCCAGAGAGCCCATTGGAGTCGAGTCACAAACATTAACACCGTGGCTCATAAGACGGGACGAGTGGACATTCTGTGTCACCGGACAGGAAGTGAGGAGAGGTGACCACGTCCCTGCTGTGATTTTACTCAAAGCTGTGGAACCTGGGCCTAATCAGGAGGGACACTGGGCAGTCCCTAGTGGAGGGACAGCTTGCAGCATGACCTGGAACAGTCAGGGCCCTGAGGGGTGAAGAGACTGCAGGGAAACACTGGTGCTGTGCACCCATTTTGCTGGAAAGGGTGAGATGCTAAGTGGGTCTCTAGGCAAGGGAATATGAGACTTGTTTTGTACTTTGTTTTCTTTTTCTCTTTTGGTGGTACTAGGGATTGAATCTAGGGCCTTTTTTTTAATTTGAAGCACATCCCTAGCCCCTTTTTAGTTTTTTGCTAAATTACTAAATTAACCAAGCAGGGCTCAAACTTTCAGTCCTCTGGCCTCAGCCTCCCAAAATACTGGGAGTACAGGTCTGTGCCACCACACCTAGCCATATGATTTTTTTTGTTTTCTTGTTTTGCTTTGTATTTCTGAGACATGGTCTCAGTCTGTAGTTCAGGCTGGCCTTGAACTCACTTTGTAGCCCAGGCTGGACTTGAACTCAAGGTGATCCTCCAGCCTCAGCCTCCTGCCTGCTGGGATTACACAGGTAGGCCACCATGCCCAGCCATCTTATTCTTTACTATAACTTTTTTCTGTGAATTTGAAATTGCTTCAGAATGAATAGAAAATTCACCCTCACAACCCCCTTGGCCATACCACTCTTTCCTGTGGACCCTGCACACAGGAGTGGGCTTCTGTGGCCTCCAGGCCTAATGTCTTTGGGACGCTCCTGTCCCCAGTTCCTCTCCTGTCCCTACCACCCTGACATTAAATCCCATCTACTCAATTTTTCCTTTGTAAAATGACTCTCAGGTAACCACGTTTTACACTGAACCCACGATTATTTTTTATGACCCTCCTGACCTCATCTAGCTGCTTGAAGGAGGACCCAGGAGAAGAATTCGTGTTCCATAGAGGGCTGGCTGTGTAAACATGGGTCTGAGGATGGATTCTCACTGTTTGCTTCTGTAATCTCGTGGTCTTCCTGTCTCCTGCTGGATGCCACCCGGCCTGCAGCCCCGGAGGCCTCTGACTGCAAGCTGTGTGTGTCCTTTAGGGACCTGGCTCCCCACGTTCATGCTCGGTTCAATCCATGGGCCCTTTGAACGGATGCTGTGTCCCCTCTGAGCATGGTGGTGGCCCTCAGCCCTCGTCCTGCTGTCACACAGTCTGCTTTCTTTAATTCACAGAGAGAAAAACGTTGCATGCTAGAACTTTCTTAGCTTGGAAATTTTCATTTTCCCTCTACTTGTTTTTCTGTGGTAATCGGAATGCGTGCTTCTAGCTGCCGGCATCAGTAGGCGAGAGAAAGGAATGAACAGCAGCGAATAAATATTAATGGCTTGGCCACCCCAGCGCTGAGGCTTATGTCAGTGGCTTGGCTTTTCATTTGGCTTCTCTCATGGCTCACGGACCGCTAGCTGGGATTTTGGTTCCGCACACCCATCAGGTAGGTGATTGCTTTCTTTAAAGGTGTCGCTCGCTAGTTGTTGATGATGGAATGAATCAGATCTGAAACTGATTTTTTTCATCACGAACCACTTAAGGAAAGTGGTGAGCTCCCAAACACACGCACCAGGCTTCTATTTAGAGTTTTCCCAATTTTATTGCTTTACCCCCTGGACTTTAAAGTTCATTTTTACATTTTTTAAAAACCACTCATCTTCCTAGACGTCTGCTCTCCTTGCTTTCGTCTGCACAACTCCTGCCAGCCTTCAAGGTTCAATAACCCTGTACAAGACTAAAGCTAAACATCAGGACGAGTCTCTCCTTCCTCTAACTGAGGCCTTTTACTATTTTTGCAAGCACCTGGTCCTCAATTAAATACTTAAATACTCAAATACTCACCATCTGTGTCTCTGTTTTGAGACAGGGTGTGTTGTTCAGGCTGGCCTTGCATTTGAGGTGATCCACCTGCTTCAGCCTAAGGGGAGGGGATTCCCAAGCAAACCTGAGACTGGACTGGATGTTGATGCACACAAGAAAGACACAGGGGTGATTTTCAGGGAAACATTTTGGTGATCAGAAGTAGAGTAACAGGACTAACTCCAGTGGTGACAGTTTTGAGATGGGTTCTAAGGTATGGGATGGCAGTCAAATGTCCAGGTTCACACCTGTCATCCCAGCCCTCTCAAAGGCCAAGCTCTAGCCCAGCCTGGGCAACTCAGTGACTTAGTGAGGCCCAGTCTCCAAATTTTAAAAAATACTGAAAAAATAGTATTAAAAGGTCTGTGATGTCAAATGTAAAATACATGAAAAAGATTTCATGGAGAAGACCAGATCCTGTCCTGGGCAAAAAGAGATACAATCAGCAACCTGGGTGGTGGGAGAGGAGGCTGAGCCAGGGCCACATGGCCTGAAGCCACAAGTCTTTCCCAGTGTGGAACCCCCCACCCCCCGGGGGACCTTCTTTTCCCACCGAGGCACAGCAGCTGAAGAGAAGGCTGTAGCTAAAAGTGGACTGAAAGGAAAACCTTTTTTTCCCTCACATGTTTTTATTTTGTATTAGTCCATGTTTATAGTACATAATGGTTTTCTTCCTCATGGGGAGTTGGAACACACACATAACCCATCTCAATTTTTTTAACATCCCTTTCACCTCCCACCTTTCTCTCTTGATCTTCTTTCCTATTTGCAAAAGATCGATCTCCCTGATTCCTATCATTTATCTTTTATCTTGTTCTTTTTTTATTCTTTTTGTTTGTTTTTGTTTTAGTCTTTTTGAGACAGGGTCTTGCTCTGCAAGGTTGGCCTTGAGCTCACTTTGTAGCCCAGGCTCAAACTTGTAATGAACCTGCCTCAGCCTCCCAAGTCCTGGAATTGCAGGTTATGTGCCACCATTCCCAGGATATTTTATTCTTGAATTTATTTATACTTGGGTATTGAAACTTATGTGTCTGATTTATTTCACTTAACACTGTGGTCTCCAGGTGCATCCATTTTTCTATACATGACTCATTTATCTTTCTTTAAAGGCAGAGTGGTGCTCCATTGTGCATACATGTCACAGATCCTGGCATTAAAAATGTTCACGTAGTTGTGCAACTGTCTCATCATCCACCTCCAGAACATTTCCACTTCATCCCTAATAAACACTACCTCCTTGGTCCTCTTCTTCCTGCAGCCCCGGGCATATCTGATTGTACTTTCTGTTTATGAATTTGTCTGCTTTAAGTACTTCACACAAGTGGGATCACACAGTGTCCTTTGGCTGATTTCTCTTAGTGTAATGGCCCTGGGTTTATCCATCGTGGAGCATGAGTCAGAATTTCCCTCCCCAATCCTATTCCCTTCTGTGTGCAGAGCACATGTTGTTGATCCAGTCATCTGCGAATGGTGGCAGCTTCCTCCTCTTAGCCTCTGGAACAGTGCTGCTGTGCACATGAACATGCATGTAAGTTTGAGTCCTTGCTTTCAGTTACCTAGGACACGCATGAAACAGTGACAGAGGCTGGTTCCTATGATAATTCTATATTTATTATTCAATTAAATTATTTATTTTGTGGCACTGGGGATTGCCCTCTATGTTTAATTTTTTGGAAGAACTGTCACTGATTCCATAACTGCTGCAACATTTTAAGGTAAGAGATTAGGACTGGGGCAAACCCACTGGGAGGAAGCTGTCAAAGTCTTGGAGACTCAGGGCACATGAGCAGAACACAGGCTCCAGGATGACCCTGAAGCGCCTGGGTCCTGCACACTGAACTAATCAGAAAAG